GGCTATTTTTTAGTTACTATTATGAACATAGTTGAACAAGAATTCTGCTGGGCAGTGGTTGTGCACACCTTTAATCCCAGCACTTGGGAGGTAGAGCCAGGAGGATCTCTGTGAGTTTGAGGCCAGCGTGGTCTACAAAGTGAGTTCCAGGAAACGCACAAATCTACACAGAGAAACCCTGTTTCAAAAAACCAAAAAAAAAAAAAAATTCCTAGGGTAGGATGGAACATCCTTTGGGTATATGCCCAAGAGTGGTGTAGCTGAGTGTTGAGGTAGATAGATGCCCAGTTTTCTGTGGAATCATAAAATTGATTTCCATGGTGCCTGTAATAGTTTTCATCCTACACACAGTGGAGGTGTGTTGTCCTTGCTTCACTTCCTATTTTGTATGAGATGTCACTTGTGTTTCTCATATTTGTCATTCTGACAGGTCTAAGATGAAATCTAAAAGTAATTTTGATTCAAATTTCCCTGGTGGCCAATGATGTTAAACATTTCTTCAAGTGTTTCTTGGGTATTTGACATTCGTCTGTTGAGAATTCTCTGCTTAGATCCATACTCCATTTTTTAAAATTAGTTAGATTTTCAAGGGTAGGTACATGTATTTTTCCTGGTTGCAGCTCACAAATAAATACACTGAGACTTATATTTCCAAGTGCTCAGTCTGTAGCTCAAACTTGTGACTAAATAGCTCTGATAACAGAAATTAAACCATTTCTATTCATCTATGTGCAGCCCAGAGGCTTGTGGCAATTACCTTTCTGCCGTGTCTTAATTCCTTTCTGTCTGATTGGTGACTCCTCTGTCTCTGAACTCTTTTTCCCAGAATTCTTCTAGTCTGACTCTCCCTTCCAACCTCTTCCTGCCCAGCTATAGGCCAGTCAATTTGTAATTAACCTGTGAGAGTACTACATATTCACAATGTACAGAAGGATTATTCCGTAGCATTCAATATCTTGCTTTTTTTTTGTTGTTGTTGTTCTTTGCGTATTTTGGAGATTTGGCCTCTATTGGTTATGGGATTGTTAAAAATCTTTTCCCATTCCTTAAGCTGCCTCTTTAATTGACTATGTCCTTTGCCTTATAGAAGGTTTACAGCTTCATGAGGTCCCATTTATTAATTATAGACCTTAGTGCCTGCATTCTTGGTGTTCTGTTCAGAAAGCTGTCTCCTGAGCCAGTGCATTCAAGGCTTTCCCCCACTTTGTCTTGTATCCTTCTCAGTGTGTCTGGTTTTATGTTGGGGTTTTTGACCCACTTGGACTTGAGTTTTGTTCAGCATGATGAAAGTGGATCTATTTGAATTCTTCTACATGCAGAAATTCAGATTAACAGGCACCATTTGATGAAAGTGCTGTCTTTTTTTCCTTTTCATATTTCTTGTTTTCGTTATCAGAAAGCAGGTGTCCACATGTTTATGGATTTATGTCTGGGTCTTAAAAACTTGATTCCATTTTTCAACTTGTCTTTCTTACTGACAATGCCATGCTGTTCTTTTATTGTTCAAGATTGTTTTAGCTATTCCGTTCTTTTGGTTATTCATATGAATCTGCAAACTGTCCTTTCAAGGTGTTCAAACAAATGTGTTTGAATTTTGATGGAGATCGTGCTGAATCTTTACATTGCTGTTGGTAGGGTGGCCTTTTTACTGTGTTAATCCTACTGATCCATGAGCATGGGGGATCTATCCATCTCCCGATATCCTCTTCAATTTCTTTCTTAAAATACTTTGAAGTTTTGATCACACATGTATTTCACTTGCTTTGTTAGAGTTACTTGAACATGTTTTATAATATTTGAGGTTATTGTGAATGGTGTTTCCCTTATTTCTTTCTCAGTCAGTTTGTCACTTTTTAGAGGAGGGATACTGATTTTTTTTGAGTTTTCCTTGTATCTAGACACTTTGCTGAAAGTGTTAATCAGCTGGAGTCCCCTTGTTGGAATTTTATTGTCACTTAAGTATATTATCATATCATCTACAAATAATAATACTTTGACTTTTTCCTTTCCAAATTATATCTCTTTTATGTCCTTCAGTTGTTTTTTTGGTCTATCTAGAACTTCAAGTACTATATTGAGTAGTTACAGAGAGTTCACAGCATTATCTTGTTCCATATTTTAGTGCAATTACTTTGAATTTCTCTCCATTTAATTTGTTGTTAGCTATAGGCTTGCTGTAAATTTCCTTTATTACACTTATGTATTTACCTTGTATCCCTTATCTCTCCAAGACTTTTATGATGTATGATTTTGTTAAAGACTTTTTCAGTGTCTAATGGGATGATATAGTTTTTTTTCCAGTATATTTTTATGGTGGATTACATTTACTGATTTTTATATATTGCGTCATCACTGCCTCTCTACGATGAAGCCTACTCAATCAGTTTGGATGATCTTTTTTTTTTTTAACTTTAACATTTTATTTTGTGTAAAAAAAGGGCAAATTTAGTGAATTATTTTCATCTTGTACACAAAGTTATAATTTTAATGCTTTTCACATCCATGCTAAAAATTTGCGTTTGGTAAAAATGAAAGGAACATAAATTTCTCTGAAGGAATTTTTCACGCCATTATATACATTTCATGAGAAAGCTTCAAACACTTCCTCAATGATCACAAATTACCAGAAAATAAAAGATTAAATTTGTCCAGATATTGATCTATATATCAAACGCACACAGAAATGATGTAAAAACCTTATGTATTTTACTTTGGCCTCTGTCCTTGAAAGGTTTGCCCAGGGACAGATGCATTTTTATTTATTTATTTTAATTTTTTTGTATAAATGACTGTGGCTTTATTTAAAATATGAAAATCAAAGGAAGATACCCAGTTTAATCACAGTATTTTTAAAATCCCTCCCCAATATTAAAGGATCATTACCAAATATATAGCACCATAATACAAATATTGATGGGCGAGGGTATTCACATCACACAAAATTAATAATAATAAAAACAAACACTGAAAACCCGTGTTAGTATCCGCAGAATAAGAAGTTGATAACAGCTTTAGCTTTCCTCATACACAGCAAGGAAAAGGTTAAAAAGTTTAAACTACTAAATGTTCCCAGGCTCCTAACAGGAAAACAAAAACAAACCCAAGGTCAGCAGTACATTTTGAACCGTGAGAGCACGGGGCTACTGAGTTGTACGACGACAGGAATTATGGCTACAATGGAAGCCTCCTCTGGTTAACTTTCTGTGTTAGCAGCAGGAGTGAGGGTCTTAACAAAGTAGAGGGCTTCAGGTTATGTTCAGACTAACAAGTCCTTACCAACCCTTCACTGTTGGTGGACATAATGAACACTTTATGAATGTTTAGGTGGGGAATTCTAAACACGCCAAGCCTGGTTTTGGTGTAGAATTGGAAGCTTTAAGACCTGGCTACAGCCGGGCGGTGGTGGCGCACGCCTTTAATCCCAGCACTCGGGAGGCAGAGCCAGGCGGATCTCTGTGAGTTCGAGGCCAGCCTGGGCTACCAAGTGAGTTCCAGGAAAAGGCGCAAAGCTACACAGAGAAACCCTGTCTCGAAAAAAAAAACCAAAAAAAAAAAAAAAAAAAAAAAGACCTGGCTACATATGAGCACTTCACAGAACTAATTACCAGGACTGGCTGGCATGAAATCACATCCTTCCTGGCTTACAGTTCCTTCTCTGGAGAGCTCCTACACCTAAGGTTGAGGAGAGCACCCCAGACAACAGTCTTCTTGTGTTGGTACCATGGAAGCACAGTCCTGGGCTAATCCGCTGAGCCTGAGAATAAAGACTGCTATAACCTTTGCTTTGGACCTCTTCTAGGCTTTAAGCTCCTGGGAAGATCCTTCAAAGATTTGGGAAGTGTGAGGATGTCACATTTACAGTAGGTCCCCCTCAGCAATGTTGTTTAAGATAAATATCCAGTAATTTTACAATTGAATTCACATATATTTGACACGAGAATCAACTTGCATTGATGTGATCAGCATTTAGCCCCCAGAGTCAGTATTAAGAAATGGTGACATGCGATTCCATATATTTTTACACTATAAAGTAACACATTTACTTCCAGTAGCTACTACAAAACCTTATGATATTAACCCCTCTTGCATAGAATGAGGTAAACCTGTGCGTATTACCAATGCTATTATTCCCAAAAGTAGAGCAATATTTTAGAAAATAAATTGCTGGTTTTTAACGTTCTATGCATTTAAAAGTCAAACAAAAATCTTACCTAAAATGTCTCCTGGGGTTTTCCATTAGCGTTTTTTAAAGCATTCCATAGGCTGAAGAGCTGCAGAGGTTAATCATTTTGATTAATTTCTCACTAGCCCTGCCTATTTTCCAGAGGAGATGGGCAGTATTACCACTCTGAAGAGGCCAGGCTCAGACCCAGAAGCACTTCTAGAACAGATGCAATGAATTCCTGAGAGTTTAGTTTATGAACCTCACTGGTAAATTCTAGAGCTCTCATTCAGTCACAACTCGGTAGAAGGGGAGAAAATGCAGAGAGCAAACCTTTCACCAATTTACCCTTTTATCCTATTTTTTAAAGGAAGCCATATGAATTTTAAAATGGGGAATGTTTACAATGGTCCAAATCAGTTATTGTTAAAATAAATGCTGACTACAATTAAAGACAATTTATAGTATGTGTCTGTGTATATGGAATTTTAAGTTTTTTTTTTCTTCCTTCCTCAAATCAGTTTCTAACTAATCCAAGACAGTTAAAAGTAGAGCTGGAATGATTCTGAAATCTAAGCTTATTCTGGTTAACAATTTTTTCATCTGATTCTCTTGGTAATACAGAACATCTGTTTTCAGGTGTGGTTACATTAAGTTGCTCTCTCTCTCAGATAGAGGGAAATGGCAGAGGTTTGATAAGAATATCCCTTTTATGGGATGTTCTCTGGCAAGGAAAACAGAATAAACTTAGGAAAATATTCATTTTCCCCAACCCCTTATGTAGACTGAAATCCTGTGTATCTTGTTAACCATTCCAGTTTAACACTTTAGTGTCAGAAAATTTAAATCATTTTTACTCGAAGGAGAGCATATAAAAGTATCCAGAGTTCTCCTAGTTTCATATACAACTCCAAATAAATTTTAGCAGAATGAAAAAATTTCTGTACAAACATTTAAATGGGCTGCAATAAAATGTCAGCGAGCACAATTAATGACCCCTTCCGTGATCTACATGGTGATGAGCCCTCTGTGAGGGGTTCAGTTGCATATTTCTGCAGCAAAGGAAGCTGGAGATGTGACTGGCCTAACTCTAAAATCCAAAAATCTCCCAACAGGTACCAAGAAGGTTCATTTGTAATGACAGTTCATTTGCATTTACAACTATATCCTTCTTAATCATTTCCTTCAATCCTGTTACCTAAGCTTTAATCTTACCAAAAAAGTTAGAATTTCAGTTCTTGTTAACAATGCACATAAATCCAAACTTGGAAAATATTACAAAATTCTTTCAAAAGCTTCAAATACAACACAAAAATCGTCCATCTTTATAAATTGAAAAATTCCCCCCCCCCCACCAAAATAGTTTCCCCCCCACCTGAAAAATCTGGAACTGAACTTTCTGTGTTTAGCAAAATGTCCCAGTAGAATAGCCCGCTGTACAGCTGGGTGACTACAAACCTGTCCTGTAAAACAGTCCCTCCCACCCCTAGTTTCTGAGCCACCTCAAGGCTCTTGTTTGATGTAGAAGGTGGCAGAGCCACTGCTTTCTTGGTCAGATGCTCCTTGGAGGAAGCTATAATCCTCTCCATCTAGCAGCTCCTCCTTCAGCTGTGACGTGGTCACTGTATGAGACAGAAAGGCACGGGATGTTACCAAGTCTTCTGGAGTGCCTTGATTGTTCATCTTCATGTTCTATCAATTTTACAGCTAAGATGACGCCATTTCTTCAATACTTTTCTTATGTCCTTTGTATTGCTGGGACTTAGCCTTTTTCTTCTGTTTAGAAGAAGCTGACTGGCTTTCTCTTGACGACTGTGATGCTGGAGGCTGTAGTTGATATCCAGTTAATTGACACCACCCTACAGGATAGAGGTCAGGGGACTCACAGTCTACCCACTGATCATACTCTTCTTCCCATCCATCAAAATGCATCCTCAAGAGGCGATGAATAATTCGAGTAACTGTGGCTACACATATTAAACGTGGCTCCATGAGATCTACAGCTTCTAATTTCATTCCTACACGAAATCCGTGATTTGGAACATTCTTATTAAATAGTTTTACTGGTGCTGCGATGGAGCCCGTTTCCCTGAGGTAGTCAAATCATTTAAAAGGAAGTTTTGTGTAACCTCTGGGTGGAGTCAGTTCTATCATGTTAATTTCACAGAAACCCACAGGGAAAATAGGAGAGGTTGCATGATAACAGAACCAGTCAGATCCATCTGCAGCTTCTGAGCCATCGATCCCAATCATCAGGAACCCATCAGCCAGCACCTTCCTAATGGTTGCAACACATATTGTAGAAAGATTTAATGGGTCTATAGCCTCCAATTTCATTCCTTCTTTGAACCATTCTCCACTCTGGTCTACTTCTTTTACCTTAGCAAATAAGTGTGGTGGTGTATCAAAATGTCCATCCTGTTTCTTTGTAATATCAGATCTTTTGAATCGATGGCCTATGCTTCGAGACCACCCGATATGGTGGATTAAGGGGCTGTGCATGTGGCACCAGAAGTCATCTGTTCTGTCTTCACTCTCTTCATACACTAACCTTAATCTTCCTCCAATTACACTTTCCACCACTGCTACTCTTGTTCCACATAAATGCCTCTTGTCAACTACTTCTACTCTCATGCAAGGTTTGAAAGGATACTGCATACTCTCTGAAACCTTTTGTGAGAAATCAGGAGGAAGCGTTTTGGCACCAGTAAGTCTTTTTACTAGAAAAGCTTTCCAGTTTGTGTATTTGTGTTGAACAGTTCTAGGAGGAACTAGAGGTTTTCCACTGGCTGCACACCAACCAACTGGATGAATATCAGAACCACATATATTGCACCAGAAGTCCAGAGAAGAATCATTTTCAAATCCTTCATATCTCAAAAGGGCATTGTAACCTGCTAATTTTATAATTCCAGTAATCCAGAAGACTTTGGTAGGTAGACTGCAGTCTGTATTGGGAACTTCTATTCTTACATTTTCTGAGATATCACCCCAGCAGGTCCCCATAGGTGCATGTTTGAAACAGGTGACTGGAGCTGCTATGAAGCTATTGCTGTTGATGTAGTTACCCCAGCTGAAGCCTTCCACGGAGACTGCTGCTTTTGTCTTTGCTTGATTTTGCAAGGTAGCTTGATATTGAGCATAGGCAGCTAATTTAGCAACTAAAGGTTGTTTCTGAAGGACTTTTGCTTTCTTTGTTGGAGGCTTACCCTGAAGTCTGGCCAGAATGCTTGCCTTCTTAGAGTTTGACGAGTAACTTCGTGAACAGGAAACACTGCAGAAACGTTTTGTTTTAGAGTAAAAAGCGTCTCGTACACCGACCATCCCACACATCTCACAGGTAGCCATGCCAGATTTACCATCTGGGTATGTGTAGACTTGTCCATTATTTTTGATAATTGGGAGACTGGAAGGTAAAGGAGCAACTTCTTCTTCACTCTCCTCAGAGCTGGAGCTGCTGCTTGTGTCCTCACTGCAGCTATCATAGCTGTCAAACATCCCGAACGAGTCTTCTTTTTCTCTTGGATTGTGAAGAATGTTCTGTCCTCCTCTCTCCCCTCCAGCGTGGCACCCTCCGCAGGCTCCGTACTCCAAGGACCATACCAAAACCAGGAGACGATGAGGTAATGGGGGCTCGCGGCAAGGCGTGGGGCCCAGAGTCAGCAGGAGGAGAAGTTTCTTTCAGCCACTTTCATTTGTACTCTGGCCTCCTTGAGTCCCTTCCAATATGTTGCCTCTGAGAAGTTGGGCTGGGGAAATTTTCCACTCCAGTCACGCCACCCGGAAGATTGGCCTTCCCAGAGGAACTCCCACACGGGGAGGGGCTGCCGAGCTGAGTGGGAGTGACGTAGCGCGTGAGTGCCGGTCACGTGGCCCAAGGCGGCGCAGGCTCCTTCCGGCTCCCCAGGGCTGGGCTGCTGCGCGGAGCTAGACGCCCCGGCACATGCGCAGTGGCGCTCCACATGAACGCCTGCGTTTCTCCTCCAACCTGAGGATGCCGCCGGGACGCCGGAGCCGGACGAAACCAGAGCGGAGAGCCGGCGCGATGCCGGGGAGGGAAGCCAGACCCGGGAGCGGCGGCACGCCCCGAAAGGCCGCCCGTTCATCCCAACGGACACCGCAGGCCGGGCAGAGGGCGGCCCCTAGCGCGGTCACGGCGGTGGCGGACGAGGAGGAGGAGAGCAGGCTTCGGCAGCGGAACCGCCTGACGCTCGAGGACGACAAGCCGGTCGCCGAGCGGTGCCTGGAGCAGCTGGTCTTCGGCGACGTCGAGGACGACGAGGACGCGCTGCTGCGGCGGCTGCGGAGCTCACGGGTGAGGGAGGCCTGCTCGCGCCGAGCGGGCACACGCACCCGCCGCGCGCCGGCGGGAGCGGGAGGCCCAGTTTGGATGATCTTTTGGATGTATTCTTGGAAATAGTTTGCAAATCTTTTATTGGGTATTGTTTCTCTATGTTCATGATTGCAATTGCTCTTTAATTCACTTTATATTTACCACAACACTGGAAGTCTGTGCTTAATTAGTTTAATGATCTCAAGGATATCAAGCAGTGAGGCTATCACTCATTGAATAACTGAAATTGGAACCCCAGAGTCTGTTTACCTCCAGATTGTAGCAATCTCCAGATTTTTAAGGGCCAGTTTTGTTTTTGATTTTGTAAATTAGAATATTCTCTCTGTGTCTCTTAGTTTGAATGAGGATTTGTATGTCTTGTTGATTTTCTCATAGAACCAAATCTGTGCTTCATTGGCTCCTTGTATTTTTCTTTGTTTCTACTTTGTTGATTTTTTTTTTGCTCAATTTGATAGTTTCTTCCTGTCTACTTCTCTTAGGTATGCTTACTTATTTTTTTTTAGAGTTTTCATATGTTCTATTAAGGTGCTAATATGAGATCTCTTCAGCCTTTTGACTTTTTTATATAGGCTCTTAGTGCTATGAAGTTTCCTCATATCAGCACTTTTGTTGTGTTCCCTGAGTTTGCATACGTTATGTATTATTTCCTTGAATTCTAGAAAGTCTTTAATTTCCTTCTTTATTTTTGTCTTGACATATTTTCTTCAGTGGAGATTGGTTCATTTTCCATGAATTTGGAAGCTTTCTGTTTTTTGTTTGCTTGGTTTTAATATGTAGCTGTAATCCATAGTGGTCTGATAGGATGCAGGTAGTTGTTTCAATCTTCTTGTATATGTTGAGACTTGAATTGTGTCCAAGTGTGTGATCAACTTTGGAGAGAATTCCATGTTGTGCTGAGAATAAGGTGTATTCTTTTTCTTTGGATAGAATATTCTCTAGTATCTATTAGATTCATATGGTTTATAAAATCCATGAGATCCAATATTTCTCTTGTTTTCATCTGGATGACATGTCCATTGGTGAGAGTGGTGTATTGAAGTCTACCACTATCAAACACTGTGCAAGAATCAATGTGTCATTTGATCTGCATAAGTGTTTCTTTTACAAAAGTGGGTGACTTTGTGTTTGGGGCATAGATTTTAACAATTGAAATGTCATATTTGTGGAATTATCCTTTGATGAATATGGAATATTTTTCCCCAACTCTTTTGATTAATTTTTGGTTGACATCTATTTTGGTAGATACTAAAATGGCTACACAAGCCTGCTTCTTAGTTCCAATAGATTGAAATTTTTTATCCAGCCTTCACCTTTCACAAATATCTATCCTTGATGTTGAAGTGTGTTTCTTGTATGCAGTGGAAGGATGGATTTTTTTTGTTTTGCAATACAATTCAGTTCTACATATCAGCCATGGATTCCCTTGTTCTCCCCCTTCCCGTCCCCCTCACCTTCCCCCAGCCCCCCCCATTCCCATCTCCTCCAGGGCAAAGCCTTCCCCACAGACTGAGGTCAACCTGGTAGACTCAGTCCAGGTAGGTCCAGTCCCCTCCTCCCAGGCCGAGCCAAGTGATCCTGCATAGGCCCCAGGTTTCAAATGGCCAACTCATGCAATGAGCACAGGACCCGGTCCCACTGCCTGGATGCCTCCCAAACAGATCAAGTCAATCAACTGTCTCACTCATTCAGAGGGCCTGATCCAGTGGGGACCCCTCAGCCATTGGTTCATAGTTCATGTGTTTCCATTCATTTGGTTATTTGTCCCTGTGCTTTATCTAACCTTGGTCTCAAAAATTCTCGCTCATATAAACCCTCCTCATTCTCGCTAATTGTACTCCCAGAGATCCACCCAGAGCCTAGTCATGGATCTCTGCATCCAGATCCCTCAGTAGTTGGATGAGGTTTCTAGCACGAAAATTAGGGTGTTTGGCCATCCCATCACCAGAGTAGGTCAGTTCGAATGTCTCTCGACCATTGCCAGCAGTCTGTTGTGGGGGTATCTTTGTGGATTTCTGTGGGCCTCTCTAGCACTTTGCTTCTTCCTATTCTCATGTGGTCTTCATTTACCATGGTCTCCTATTCCTTGTTCTCCCTCTCTGTTGTTGATCCAGCTGGGATCTCCCACTCCCCCAAACTCTCTTTCCCTTGACCCTTGCCCTTCACTACCCCCACTCATGTCTAGGCTGTTCATGTAGATCTCATTCCATTTCTCTGTCATTGGGCGATCCCCTTGTCTATCTTGGGGTCCTGTTTTCCAGGTAGCCTCCCTGGTGATGTGAGTAGCAGTCCAGTCATCCTTGTTCCACTTCTAGTATCCTCCTATGAGTGAGTACATACCATGTTTGTCTTTCTGAGTCTGGGTTACCTCACTCAGGATGATTTTTTCTAGATCCATCCATTTGTCTGCAAACCTCATGATGTCATTGTTTTTCTCTGCTGAGTAATATTCCATTGTGTATATGTACCACATTTTGTTTATCCATTCTTCATTTGAAGGGCATCTAGGTTGTTTCCAGGTTCTGGCTATTACAAACAGTGCTGATATGAACATAGCTGAACAAGTGCTCTTGTGGTGTGGTTGAGCATACCTTGGGTATATGCCCAAGAGTGGTATAGCTGGATCTTGGGGGAGATGGATTCCCAATTTTCTAAGAAAGCGCCATATTGATTTCCAAAGTGGGTTGTACAAGCTTGCTTTCCCACCAGCAGTGGTGGAGAGTTCCCCTAGCTCCACATCCTCTCCAGCATAAGGTGTCGTCAGTGTTTTTGATCTTAGCCATTCTGACAGGCATAAGGTGGTATCTCAGAGATGTTTTGATTTGTATTTCCCTCATGATTAGGGATGTTGAGCAATTCCTTAAATGTCTTTCAGCCATTTGAGTTTCCTCTGTTGAGAATTCTCTGTTTAGCTCTATAGCCCATTTCTTAATTAGACTGTTGGGCATTTTGATGTCTAATTTCTTGAGTTCCTTATATATTCTGGATATCAGTCCTCTGTCAGATGTGTGGTGGTTGGTGAAGATCTTTTCCCATTCTGTAGGCTGTCGCTTTGCCTTGTTGACCATATCCTTTGCTCTACAAAAGCTTCTCAGTTTCAAGAGGTCCCATTGATTGATTGTTTCTCTCAGTGTCTGTGCCATTGGTGTTCTATTTAGGAAGTGTTCTCCTATGCCAATGCGTTCAAGACTACTTCCTCCTTTCTCTTCTAGCAGGTTCAGAGTAGCTGGATTTATGTTGAGATCCTTGATCCACTTGGACTTAAGTTTTGTGCACGGTGATAGATATGGATCTATTTGCAGCCTTCTACATGTTGATATCCAGTTACTCCAGCACCATTTGTTGAAGATGCTTTTTTTTCCATTGTGCACTTTTGGCTTCTTTGTCAAAAATTATGTGTTCATAGGTGTGCGGATTCATGTCAGGGTCTTCAGTTGGATTCCATTGGTCCACATGTCGGTGTTTATGCCAGTACCAAGCTGTTTTTATTACTGTAGCTCTATAGTAAAGCTTGAAGTGAGGGATCGTGATGCCTCCAGAGAATGTGTTATTGTACAGAATCCTTTGGCTATCCTGGGTTTTTTGTTTTTCCATATGAAGTTGAGTATTATTCTTTCCAGGTCTGTGAAGAATTGTGTTGGTATTTTGATGGGGATTGCATTGAATCTGTAGATTGCTTTTGGTAAGATTGCCATTTTTACTATGTTAGTCCTGCCTATCCATGAGCATGGGAGATCTTTCCATTTTCTGACATCTTCTTCAATTTCTTTGTTCAGGGACTTAAAGTTCTTGTCATATAGGTCCTTCACTTGCTTGGTTAGTGTTACCCCGAGGTATTTTATGTCATTAGTGGCTATAGTAAAGGGTGATGTATCTCTGATTTCCTTCTCTGCTTCTTTGTCCATTGTATATAGGAGGGCTACTGATTTTTTTGAGTTGATCTTGTATCCTGCTATGTTGCTGAAGGTGTTTATAAGCTGTATCAGTTCCTTGGTGGAATCTTTGGGGTCGCTCAAGTATACTATCATGTCATCTGCAAATAGGGAAAGCTTGACTTCTTCCTTTCCAATTTGTATCCCCTTAATCTCCTTATGTTGTCTTATTGCTCTGACTAGAACTTCAAGTACTATATTGAATAAGTATGGGGAGAGCGGACAGCCTTGCCTCGTTCCTGATTTTAGTGGAATTGCTTTGAGTTTCTCTCCATTTAATTTGATGTTGGCTGCTGGCTTGCTGTAAATTGCCTTTATTATGTTTAGGTATGTTCCCTGTATTCCTGATCGCTCCAATACCTTTATCATGATGGTGTGTTGGATTTTGTCAAATGCCTTTTCTGTGTCTAGTGAGATGATCATGGGGTTTTATCTTTGAGTTTGTTTATATGGTGTATTA